CCCCTTCCCCCCAAGTTCCACTTGGCCCCACTCAGCCCCTGGATCCCTGCTCTGTGTGTCCCCCCCAAACCCTTTCCCATCCCCTCGATGGCCTTCAAGCTCCTGTTCTTTCCCAATGCCACCTGGGAACTCCCTTAAAGCTCTCTCTTGTGCCCCCCAAGTTGGGTCCATGCTAAGCCCCATAGTCCAGCCCTGAACCAACCCAACCCAAACTCATCCCCAACTCAAGTCAAGCTCAACTCCATCCCCAAACCAACCCCAACTCAACCCAATCTCATCTCCAACCCAAGTCAACCCCAACCCAACCTCAACCTCATCCCCAAACCACCCCAACCGAACCTAACCGCAACCCAGCCCGAAGTTAATCTCAACTCTATCCCCAAACCAACCCCAGCCTCAACCCCAACCTAACTGCAACCCAATCTCATACCCAACCCAACTTCAATCCCAACCCCAACCCAACCCAACCTCAACCTCATCCCCAACCCAATCCCAACCCAACCTCATCCCCAACCCAATCTCAACCTCAAACCAACCCAACCTCAACCCCAGCCACAACCCCACTTAATCTCAACCCCAAACCAACCTCATCCCCAACCCAATCCCAGCCCAACTCAACCCCAAACCAACCCCAACCTCAACCCCAACCCAACCTCAACCCCAGCTTCAATCCCAACCCAAACTCAACCCCAACCCAACCCCAACCTCAACCCCAAACCAACCTCATCCCCAACCCAACCCCAACCCAACCTCAACCCCAGCTTCAATCCCAACCCAAACTCAACCCCAACCCAATCTCAACCCAACCTCAACCCCAAACCAACCTCATCCCCAGCCTCAATCCCAACCCCAACCCAACCCCAACCTCAACCCCAAACCAACCTCATCCCCAACCCAACCCCAACCCAGCCTCAACTCCATCTACAAACCACCCCCAACCCAACCCCATTCCCCCCCCAACCCATCCCCACCCCAACCCCAACCCCTCACCTCTTGTGTCCCCCCCCAAACCCCCATTCCCCCCCTCAAACCCTCCCAGACCCCTTGACCTCATCCCCTCCTCACCCTCTCAGCCGACCGGGCCGCGCCGAAGAAGATGGGCCCGAAGGCCAACCACACCACGCACGTCGTGTACATGGCGAAGCCGATGGGTTTGGCCTCGTTGAAGGTCTCGGGGACGCCGCGGGCCTTGACGGCGTAGACGGTGGTGGTGAGCATGAGGAGCAGAGCGTGGGCCAGGCAGGCCAAGGTGGCGCCCTCGGCCATGTCGCAGCGCAGCACCCCCCGTGCGTCCTCGGGGTCCGGGGTTCGCCCCATCTCGTAGTCCACCAGGGCGTGGGGGGGACGCAGGAGGAGCCACATGGCCGCCCCCACCAGCTGCATCCCGCTGAGGGCGAAGGTGATGACGAGCTGCGAGGTGGGGCTGATGAAGCGGGGGGGCGTCACTGAGCGCTTCCCTATAAAGAGGGGGCACACGAGGGGTTGTGGGGTGCACAGAACCTATGGTCAGCCCCACAAGTCACCTTGGGGGAAGACATGGTAGATGGGGGTGGTTGCGGTGAGGAGCTCGCCATAGGTAGAACCCCATCCCATGTCCCTCAACCCATCCTTTTGACCTTCAATTGGACCCCTATGTGGTTCCTGGGACCTCAAGAACCTATGGTCAGCCCCATAAGTCACCTTGGGGGAGGACGTGGCAGATGGGGGTGCTTGTGGTGAGGAGGTTGCCATAGGTAGAACCCCATCCCATGTCCCTCAACCCATACTTTTGACCTTCAATTGGACCCCTATGTGGTTCCTGGGACCTCAAGAACCTATGGCCATCCCCATAAGTCACCTTGGGGGAGGATGTGGTAGATGGGGGTGGTTGTGGTGAGGAGCTCAGGGTAGGTAGAACCCCATCCCACGTCCATCAACCCAAACTCTTGACCCTCAATGGGACCCCATGGAGGTCCAGAACCTATGGTGAGCCCCATAAGTCACCTTGGGGGAGGATGTGGTAAATGGGGGTGCTTGTGGTGAGGAGCTCAGGGTAGGTAGAACCCCATCCCATGTCCCTCAACCCAAACTCTTGGCCCTCAGTTGGACCCTTATGTGGTTCCTGGACCCCATGGACCTCCAGAACCTATGGTGAGCCCCATAAGTCACCTTGGGAGAGGACGTGGTAAATGGGGGTGCTTGTGTTGAGGAGGTCGCCATAGGTAGAACCCCATCCCATGTCCCTCAACCCATCCTTTTGACCTTCAATTGGACCCCTATGTGGTTCCTGGACCCCATGGAGGTCCAGAACCTATGGTCAGCCCCATAAGTCACCTTGGGGGAGGACGTGGTAGATGGGGGTGCTTGTGGTGAGGAGGTCGCCATAGGTAGAACCCCATCCCATGTCCCTCAACCCATCCTTTTGACCTTCAATTGGACCCCTATGTGGTTCCTGGGACCTCCAGAACCTATGGTGAGCCCCATAAGTCACCTTGGGAGAGGACGTGGTAAATGGGGGTGCTTGTGGTGAGGAGCTCGCCATAGGTAGAACCCCATCCCACGTCCCTCAACCCATCCTTTTGACCTTCAATTGGACCCCTATGTGGTTCCTGGGACCTCAAGAACCTATGGCCATCCCCATAAGTCACCTTGGGGGAGGATGTGGTAGATGGGGGTGGTTGTGGTGAGGAGCTCAGGGTAGGTAGAACCCCATCCCACGTCCCTCAACCCAAACTCTTGACCCTCAATGGGACCCCATGGAGGTCCAGAACCTATGGTCAGCCCCATAAGTCACCTTGGGGGAGGACATGGTAGATGGGGGTGGTTGTGGTGAGGAGCTCAGGGTAGGTAGAACCCCATTCCATGTCCCTCAACTCAAGCTCTTGACCCTCAATTGGGCCCCTATGTGGTTCCTGGACCCCATGGAGGTCCAGAACCTATGGTCAGCCCCATAAGTCACCTTCGGGGGGGACGTGGTAGATGGGGGTGCTTGCGGTGAGGAGGTCGCCATAGGTAGAACCCCATCCCACGTCCCTCAACCCATCCTTTTGACCCTCAATTGGGCCCCTATGTGGTTCCTGGACCCCATGGAGGTCCAGAACCTATGGTCAGCCCCATAAGTCACCTTGGGGGAGGACGTGGTAGATGGGGGTGCTTGTGGTGAGGAGCTCGCCATAGGTAGAACCCCATCCCACGTCCCTCACCCTGCTCGAAGATGCGGTAGATGCGGTTGGTCTTGGTGAGCAGCGCGGCGTAGCTGAGGCTCATCCCTAAGCCCAGGAAGAGCCTCCTCATGGCGCAGACGCCCACCCCCGGCTCGGCCACCATGAGGAAGGTGATGCCATAAACCAAAGCGATGCCCACCAAGAGGACGTAGCTGAGCTCCCGCCCCGACGCCTTCACGATGGGCGTCTCGTGGTGCTTGATGAAGGTGAGCAAGACGAAGGCGGTGGCCAACAAGCCCAAGGTGGCCAAAGCCAAGGGGACGGCGGCACAAGGGTCCCCCCAGCGCAGGCGTAGGACGGGTGTGGGGCGGCAGGAGGTGTGGTTACTGGTGGGGCGCAGGTGGGGGGGGCAGGCCTGGCAGCTCTGGGGGTCGGCCAGGAAGCGGTAACCGGAGCAGAGCTCGCAGTGCCAACAGCACGGGACCCCCTTCACCGGGGTCTTCTTCTCCCCAGGACCACAGGGGAGGCTGCAGACCGAGGGGGGCACGGAGCGGTTGGAGCCCCACGTCATGGCGTCCACCTGGGGGGGCAGGTAAGGGGGCAGGAGATAGCCAGCGGTGGTGGGGGAAGGGGGAGTTGGATATAGGGTGTGTGTTTGGTCATTGGGGTCCCACCAGTTGACCATAGGGGTGTCCATATGGTCATTGGGGTCCAAGTGGTTGACCATTGGGATCCCACAGGAGCACCCAGTTGACCATAGGGGCATCCATATGGTCATTGGGGTCCAAGTGGTTGACCATTGGGATCCCACAGGAGCACCCAGTTGACCATGGAGGCATCCATATGGTCATTGGGATCCAAGTGGTTGACTATTGAGATCCAACCAGTTGACCACAGGGGCGCCCAACTGATCATTGAGATCCCACCAGTTGACCATGGGGCACCCAACTGACCATGAAGGCACCCACTTGACCATAATGGCACCCAATTGCCCATGGAGGCACCCACTTGACCATGGAGGCACCCAACTGACCACAGGGGCACCCAACTGACCACGAAGGCACCCAATTGACCATGGAGGCACCCAACTGACCATGAAGGCACCCAATTGACCATGGAGGCACCCAATTGACCACGAAGGCACCCAATTGACCATAATGGCACCCAATTGCCCATGGAAGCACCCAATTGACCATGGAGGCACCCAACTGACCATAGAGGCACCCAACTGACCACGAAGGCACCCTATTGACCATGGAGACACCCAATTGACCATAATGGCACCCAACTGACCATAATGGCACCCAATTGACCATGGAGGCACCCAATTGACCACGAAGGCACCCAGTGACCATGGAGGCACCCAATTGACCATGAAGGCACCCAATTGCCCATAATGGCACCCAGTTGCCCATAATGGCACCCAGCTGACCATGGAGGCACCCAATTGACCCCTGAGGTCCCACCAGTTGCCCCTGGGGCACCCATGGGGGGGGGGGTCAGCACCCACCTGCAGGTGCAGGCCCTGCACCCACTGTCCCACAGCTCGGTAGCTGCCGCTGCCGTTGGCGCCCTGGAACTGGAAGATGTCGTATCTGCCCGGAGCATCCCCGTTCTCATTGAAGCTCACGGGGGTCCCTGCGCTGCCTGCACCAGTATGGACCAGTACAGACCAGTATGGACCAGTACAGACCAGTATGGACCAGTACAAACCAGTATGGACCAGTACGGACCAGTACAAGCCAGTATGGAACAGTACAAACCAGTATGGGCCAACCAGTACAAACCAGTATGGACCAGTACAAACCAATATGGACCAGTACAAACCAGTATGGACCAGTACAAACCAGTATGGACCAACCAGTACAAACCAGTATGGACCAGTACAAACCAGTATGGACCAGTACAAACCAGTATGGACCAGTACGGAGAATTACGGACCAAGCCAGGCCCAGGAATACCAAGTAAGGACCCACTGAGGACCCTCCCTGTGTGGTCTCCAGTGCCCCCCAGCCCCCTTCCAGTGCCTCCCCGTGTATCCCAGTGCCCCCCCAGTATGGTCTCCAGTCCACCCATTCTCCTATTCCATCCCATCCCCTTGTCCCCTTCCCAGTCCATCCCAGTCCCTTCTAGTCCCCTGCCAAACCTTCTCAGTGCCCTCCCACTCTATCCCATCCCCTCCCATCCCCTCCCATCCCTTCCCAGTCCATTCCTATCCCTTCCTATTCCCCTTCCATTCACTTCCCATTGCCCTCCAGCCCCTTTCTAGTGCCTCCCAGTCCATTCCATCCCCTCCAATTCCCACCCCATCCCTTCCCAGTCCATCCCATCCCATTCCCATTCCCATTCTCATCCCATTTTCATTCTCATCCCCTCCCATCCCTTCCCATTCCCTTCCCAGTCTGAGCACCCCACAGCCCCCTCCCAGTCCCTCCTATTGCCCCCATTCTCATTCCTATCCCATTCCCATCCCATTCCCATTCCCATCCCATTTCTATCCCATTCCTATTCCCACCCCATTCCCACCCCATTCCTATCCCATTCCTATCCCATTCCCATTGCATTCTCATTCCTATCCCATTCCCACCCCATTCCTATCCCATTCCTACCCCATTCCCATTCCCAATCCATTCCCACTCCATTCCCATTCCCACCCCATTCCCATTCCTATCCCATTCCCATCCCATTCCCATCCCATTCCCATTCCTATCTTATTCCCATTCCTATCCCATTCCCACCCCATTCCCTTTCCCATCGCATTCCCACCCTATTCCCACCCCATTCCCATTCATATCCATTCTCATTCCCACCCCATTCCTATCCCAGTCCCTCCCATTGCCCCCATCCCCATCCCATTTCCATTCCCATCCCATTCCCACCCCATTTCCATTCTCATTCCCACCCCATTCCTATCCCAGTCCCTCCCATTGCCCCCATTCCCCCCCCCCCGCTCACCGCTGAAGTTCACCCCCCGGATGTGCTGCAGGAGGCGGCGCCCGTCGGGGGGGTCCATGTGGGGGCAGAGCCCCCCCCCGGGGCAGAGCTCGGCCGCGAGGCTGTGCAGGGCGCGCGCCATGGCCAGCACGGCGTCAATGACGAACTGCACCTTCCCCTCCTGCTCGTAGGGCGAGTCCCGGCCGATGCGCTCCCGCCCTGACCCACACTTGGGGGTCAGACCCAGAGAGCGCTGCCCGGACCCACACTTGGGGGTCAGACCCATAGCACTGCCCCATAGCGCTGCCCGGACCCACACTTGGGGGTCAGACCCACAGAGCGCTGCCCTGACCCACACTTGGGGGTCAGACACAGAGAGGGCTGCCCGGACCCACACTTGGGGGTCAGACCCACAGAGCGCTGCCCTGACCCACACTTGGGGGTCAGACCCATAGCACTGCCCCATAGCGCTGCCCAGACCCACACTTGGGGGTCAGACCCACAGAGCGCTGCCCTGACCCACACTTGGGGGTCAGACCCACAGCGCTGCCCGGACCCACACTTGGGGGTCAGACCCAGAGCGCTGCCCGGACCCACACTTGGGGGTCAGAGCCATAGAGCCCTGCCCTCCCCTGCCCCACACTTGGGGTCAGACACAGAGCCCTGCCCTCCCCTGCCCCACACTAGGGGGTCAGACACAGAACCCTGCCCTGCCCTGCCCCACACTTGGGGGTCAGACCTATAGCTCCGCCCTGTCCCACACTTAGGGGCCAGACCCACAGTGCTGCCCTGCCCCGCACTTGGGGGTCAGACCCAGAGCGCTGCCCTGACCCACACTTGGGGGTCAGACCCATAGGATGCCCTGCCCCACACTTGGGGGTCAGACCCATAGGGCGCCCTGCCCCACACTTGAGGGTCAGACCCATAGGGCGCCCTGCCCCACACTTGAGGATCAGACCCATAGGATGCCCTGCCCCACACTTGAGGATCAGACCCATAGGATGCCCTGCCCCACACTTAGGGGTCAGACCCATAGGGCGCCCTGCCCCACACTTGAGGGTCAGACCTATAGCACTGCCCTGCCCCACACTTGGGGGTCAAACACAGAGAGCTGCCCCATAACATTGCTCTGCCCCACACTTGGGGCTCAGACCCACAGTGCTGCCCCACACTTGGGGGTCAGACCGGTAGCACTGCCCTGCCCCACACTTGGGGGTCAGACCCACAGTGCTCCTCCAGGGAGCTATGGGGCAAGCAGGGCTCTATGGGGCAGGCAGGGAGCTATGGGGCAAGCAGGGCTCTATGGGGCAGGCAGCGCCCTATGGGGCACCCCGTGAAGCAGGCAGCGCTTTACCTGTGCACTTGCGGACGGGCCCGCCGTGGGGCTCGCTCTGGGGCTCGCTATGGGGCAGGCGGCAGTTGAAATCCTCCTCCCAGAACTCGTGGAACCAGAGGTTGCGGCGGTTGTTCTCCAGCGAGCGGGACGTGAAATACTCATCGAAGCCTGCAGGGGGCGCCCCATAGCTCCGTGCGCCTCGCCCCATAGCGCCCCATAGCGCCCCATAGCGCCCCATAGCACCCTAGCACCAGCTCCTCGCCTCATAGCGCCCTATAGAGCCCCATAGCACCCCATAGTGCCGTAGCACCAGCGCCTTGACCCGTAGTGCCCCATAGCGCCCCATACAGCCCCATAGCACCCCATAGCACCAGCACCTTGCCCCACAGCACTCTATAACGCCCCATAGCACCCCATAGCACCAGCGCCTCGCCCCACAGCACCCCATAACGCCCTATAGAGCCCTATAGAACCCCATAGCACCCCATAGCACCATAGCACCAGCGCCTTGCCCCACAGCACCCCATAGCGCCCCATAGCACCCTATAGCGCCCCATAGCACCCTATAGAGCCCCATAGCACCCTATAGCGCCCCATAGCACCCCATAGCTCCCTATAGCACCCCATAGCTCCCCATAGCGCCCCATACAGCCCCATAGCACCATAGCACCACCGCCTCGCCCCATAGCGCCCCATACAGCCCCATAGCACCATAGCACCACCGCCTTGCCCCATAGCGCCCCATAGCTCCCCATAGCGCCCCATAGCACCCCCCAGCGCCCCATAGCGCCCCACAGCCCCATGGCGCCCCCTGCCGGCACTGACCGGGCACCGAGGCGCGCTTGGGCAGGATGGTGATGGCTCCGTCGGCCGCCGGCTCCAGCCCCAGCACCGGGCCCAGCTTCGCCCCCCACGAGTCCGAGCCCACCCAGGAGAAGTGACCGGAGAGGTTGGCGCGGGCGGCGGCCTCCAGCACCCGCCTGGGGACGGAGCGGAATGGGAGAGACTGGGAGGGACTGGGAGGGACTGGGATGGGAATGGACTGGGATAGGAATGGGATAGACTGGGATGGGAATGGACTGGGATAGACTGGGATGGGAATGGGATAGACTGGGAGGGACTGGGATAGACTGGGAGGGACTGGGATGGGAATGGGAATAGACCTGGATGGGAATGGGATAGACTGGGAGGGACTGGGGCAGATTGGGATGGGAATGGGAGGGACTGGGATGGGAATGGGATAGACTGGGAGATACTGGGAGAGGAATGGGAGGGACTGGGATAGACTGGGAGTGGAATGGTGGTCAATGGGAAGGACTGGGATGAGCTGGGATGAGAATGGGATGGACTGGGATAGGAATGGAATAGTCTGGGAGGGACTGGGATGGGAATGGGCTGGGCTGGGCTGGACTGGGAGAGGAATAGGAGGGACTGGGAGAGGATGGGATGGACTGGGGTGGACTGGGAGTGGAATGGTGGTCAATGGGAAGGACTGGGATGAGATGGGATATTAATGGGATGGACTGAGAAGGGAATGGGATAGACTGGGATGGGCTGGGATAGACTGGGGTGAACTGGGAGTGGAATGGGATGGACTGGGGTGGACTGGGAGTGGAATGGTGGTCAATGGGATGGGCTGAGAGACTGGGAGGGAAATAGAGGGGACTGGGATGGGCTGGGAGTAGAATGGTGGTCAATGGGATAGACTGGGACGGACTGGGAGAGGAATAGGAGGGGAATGGGATGGACTGTGATAGACTGGGATGGATTGGGATAGACTGGGAAGCACTGGGAGAGGAATAGGGGGGGATGGAATGGACTGGGATAGACTGGGAGGGACTGCTCTAGACTGGTCCATACTGCTCTGTACTTTTCTACACTGCTCTACGCTCATCTATACTGGTCGATACTGGTCTATACTGGTGTATACAGATTTATACAGGTCTATACTGGTTTATGCAGCTTTATTCTGGTCTAGATTGGTTTATACTGGTCTCTACTGCTTCATACAGATCACTCAGCTCATCCCATCCATCCTGGTGAACACCTTGGCCTGTGCTGGGCTCACTGGGGAGCGGTTCCTGGGCCAGTTCCTGCTCTCTACTGGTAAGAACTGGTTTATACTGGTTTATACTGGTCTCTACTGCTTCATACAGATCACTCAGCTCATCCCATCCATCCTGGTGAACACCTTGGGCTGTGCTGGGCTCACTGGGGAGTAGTTCCTGGGCCAGTTCCTGCTCTTTACTGGTTTATACTGGTTAATACTGGTCCATACAGATCACTCAGCTCATCCCATCCATCCTGGTGAACACCTTGGGCTGTGCTGAGCTCACTGGGAAGCGGTTCCTGGGCCAGTTCCTGCTCTCTACTGGTTTATACTGGTCTATACTGGTTTATACTGGTTTATACTGCTCCATACGGATCACTCATCTCATTCCATCCATCCTGGTGAACACCTTGGGCTGTGCTGGGCTCACTGGGGAGCGGTTCCTGGGCCAGTTCCTGCTCTCTACTGGTCTATACTGGTTTATACTGGTTTATACTGGTTTATACTGGTCCTCACCGGATGTCGTCCTCGTTGGCGAACAGCACCACCCCGCGCGCCGTCGATGTCTCCATGAGCCTCCCGATGACTTTGTCGAACTCCCCCGGGCGCGGCTCCCGCGGGATCTTGATGGATTGAGCGATGCAGAGGCCCCCTGCGCCGGGGACACCCACCAGTGCCCACCAGTATGGACCAGTATGGACCAGTACACCCCAGTATGTCTCAGTACCTCCCAGTACACCCCAGTGTGTCCCAGCCCCCCCCCCAGTCCTCTCCCAGTTCCCCCCATTCCCTCCCAGTCCCTTCCACTCCATCCCACTACCTCCCATTTCCCCTCCCATTCCCTCTCAGTATATCCCAGTGCCCCCACCCGGTCCATCCCATTCCCCTCCCATTCCATCCCATTTCCTTCCCACTCCATCCTATTCCCTCCCATTCCCCTCCCACTCTAACCCACTCCATCCCACTCCCCTCCCACTCCATCCCAGTCTATGCCACTCCATCCCACACTCTCCCATTCCCTTCCCAATCCATCCCATTCCCTTCCCACTCCATCCCAGTCTATCCCACTCCATCCCACTCCCCTCCCACTCCATCCCATTCCCATTCCCAACCCATTCCCACTCCATCCCATTCCCTTCCCACTCCATCCCAGTCTATGGCACTCCATCCCAGTCCATCCCAGTCCATCCCAGTCTATCCCACTCCATCCCATTCCCATTCCCATCCCATCCCATTCCCATTCCCATCCTATTCCCTTCCCTCTCCATCCCCATTCCCATCCCCATTCCCATTCCCATCCCATCCCATTCCCATCCCATTCCCTTCCCACTCCTCTCCCAGTCTATCCCACTCCATCCTCTTCCCATCCCACTCCATCCCAGTCTATCCCACTCCATCCCATTCCCATCCCATTCCACTCCATCCCACTCCATCCCAGTCTATCCCACTCCATCCCATTCCCATCCCATTCCACTCCATCCCAGTCTATCCCACTCCATCCCACTCTATCCCACTCTATCCCATTCCCATCCCATTCCCATCCCATTCCCATCCCATTCCCATCCCACTCCCCTCCCACTCTAACCCACTCCATCCCATTCCCATTCCCACCCCATCCCCATTGCCCCCCCCCTCTCCCCACCGGCCTCCCTGGAGCTCTGCACGAAGGCCTCCACCCCGCTCTCCCCGTAGCTGCCCTCGGAGGCCACGGTGGCCACGTAGCTCCAGCCCAGGGCCCTCGTCACGGCCACCATGGCCTGGGCCTGCTCCGAGTCCGGCGGCACCACCCGGGAGAAGAACCCGTAACGGGCAGGGTCACTGAGCTCCGGGGCCGTGGAGGCGTAGCTGATCTGGGGGATCTGGGAACGGTGATGGGATACGGGTGGGAATGGGGCCAGCATCATCGGGTACCAGCCATGGGCATCCTGTGCCAGCATCATCGGGTACCAGCCATGGGCATCCTGTGCCAGCATCATCGGGTACCAGCCATGGGCATCCTGTGCCAGCATCATCGGGTACCAGCCATGGGCATCCTGTGCCAGCATCATCGGGTACCAGCCATGGGCATCCTGTGCCAGCATCATCGGGTACCAGCCATGGGCATCCCGTGCCAGCATCATCGGGTACCAGCCATGGGCATCCCGTGCCAGCATCATCGGGTACCAGCCATGGGCATCCCGTGCCAGCATCATCGGGTACCAGCCATGGGCATCCTGTGCCAGCATCATCGGGTACCAGCCATGGGCATCCTGTGCTGAGCTATGGGGATAGAGCCTTGGAGCTGATCTGGGGGATCTGGGAACGGTGATGGGATACGGGTGGGAATGGGGCGGATGGAGCCGAGCATCATCCAGTACCAACCATGGGCATCCTGTGCTGGTAGGGATGGGGCATGGGGATATGGGGATAGAGCCTTGGAACTGAGCTGTGGGGTCTGGGAATGGCACTGGGGACATGGGAACATGGGACGGGGGGGGACACAACAGTCAGGACATATGGACACTGGGGGGGGGGACCTAATCCCATGGGATATCCATGCCCCCCCTTGTGTATTCTGTGTCCCTAATCCCTCCTAATCCCTGGAGCCATTTGCTGCCATCCTGGGGCATTGTGGGTAATGGGGGGGGGGGGTGGAAGGGTCCATTGGGAATGGGGGGGTCAGAGCGGCCACCAATGCCCCCCCCACGATGTCCCCAGTGTCACCTTGACCACCATGATGGAGATACACTGGCCACCATGATGGAGACACCTTGACCACCATGACGGAGATACCCTGGCCACCATGATGGAGACACATTGGCCACTATGATGAAGACACGTTGGCCACTGTGGTGGAGACACCTTGACCACCATGATGGAGACACCTTGACCACCATGATGGAGACATATTGGCCACCATGATGAAGACACATTGGGCACAATGATGGAGACACACTGGCCACTGTGGTGGAGATACCTTGACCATCATGATGGAGATACATTGGCCACTGTGACAGAGATGTATTGGCCACCATTATGGAGATGAACAGAAACACATTGGCACCATGATGGACACAGATGGTGATGGAGCCACACTGACGACCATGATGGAGACACCTTGACCACCATGGTGAGGATACATTGGCCACCGCGATGGAGACATGTTGACCACCATGATGGAGACACATTGACCACTATAATGAAGACACCTTGACCACCATGATGGAGACACGTTGACCACCATGATGGAGACACATTGGCCACCATGATGGAGATACATTGACCACTATAATGAAGACACCTTGACCACCATGATGGAGATACATTGACCACTATAATGAAGACACGTTGACCACCATGATGGAGACACATTGACCACTATAATGAAGACACCTTGACCACCATGATGGAGACACCTTGGCCACCATGATGGAGACACATTGACCACTATAATGAAGACACATTGACCACCATGATGGAGATACATTGACCACTATAATGAAGACACGTTGACCACCATGATGGAGACACATTGACCACTATAATGAAGACACATTGACCACCATGATGGAGATACATTGACCACCATGATGGAGACACATTGACCACGATGATGGAGACACCTTGGCCACCACACTGGAGCTGGAACTTGCCCCCTTCCCCATGGCCCCACTCACATTGAAGAGCTGCAGCACATTGGCCACCATGATGGAGATACACTGGCCAGCATGATGGACACAGATGGTGATGGAGCCACACTGACCACCATGATGGACACAGAACTCGCCCCCCCCCCCCCACTCACATTGAAGAGCCGCAGCACATTGGCCACCATGATGGACACAGATGGTGATGGAGCCACATTGGCCACCATGATGGAGACACATTGGCCACCATGATGGAGATACACTGGCCACCATGATGGACACAGATGGTGATGGAGACACATTGACCACCATGATGGAGACACATTGGCCACCATGATGAAGACACCTTGACCACCATGATGGAGATACACTGGCCAGCATGATGGACACAGATGGTGATGGAGCCACACTGACCACCATGATGGAGATACACTGGCCACCATGATGGAGACACATTGGCCACTATAATGAAGACACCTTGACCACCATGATGGAGACACACTGGCCACCATGATGGACACAGAACTCGCCCCCCCCACTCACATTGAAGAGCCGCAGCACATTGGCCACCATGATGGACACAGAACTCGCCCTCCCCATCCCCCCACTCACATTGAAGAGCCGCAGCACATTGGCCACCATGATGGACACGGAACTCGCCCCCCCCCCCTCCCCCACTCACATTGAAGAGCCCAGCACATTGGCCACCATGATGGACACAGAACCGCCCCCCCCCCCCCCACCACAAAACCCACACACACAAACAACCCCCCCCCACCACAAAACCCACACACCACCAAACACACCCCCCCCACAAAACACACACCACCAAACACAACCCCCCCACCACAAAACCCACACACCACCAAACACAACCCCCCCCCCACAAAACCCACCCCCCCCAAACACACCCCCCCCCCACCAAAACCCACACACCACCAAACCCCCCCCCCCCCACCCCCCACCACAAAACCCACACACCACCAAACACAAAACCACATTGGCCACCATGATGGACACAGATGGTGATGGAGCCACATTGGCCACCATGATGGAGCCACATTGGCCACCATGATGGACACAGAACTCGCCCCCCCCACTCACATTGAAGAGCCGCAGCACATTGGCCACCATGATGGACACGGAACTCGCCGAAGCCCCGATGACCCCCACGAGTCGCTCTGGAGGCGGCCGCCGGGGGGCGCTGCCATCGGCGCATCTCCCTTCCCCTTCCACCGGGGGCAGGAGGCTACGGACGAAGCCCAGCGCCTGCTCCAAGGCGTAGGTGTCCCGGGAGCAGGTATCCAGGATGCGGGCTCCCAGCGTGAGGTTGGGCAGCACCGTGGGGTCCCCGTTGACGCGGTCCAGGGCGTAGAGCATGGCCTCCAGGCGGTGGATGCCCTTCTCCTTCTTGATGGGGCCGCACGGGACCCCCGCAGGACCCCGGGCGTGAACGGGGAAGAGGCCCCCCAGGGTCAGGTCCCCTTCCAAGCGGATGCCGTGGGGCTGGGTGGGAGATGGGGCGGGGAGGGTGGGGGTCAAGAGGGTGCTCAAGGGGAGCAGGAGGTGCAGCATGGTCCTGGGCTGTTGGGGGGGGAGAAAAGAGGGGTTGGAGGGGGGAATGGGGGGTGGCGTCCTATGGGGCAGGGATAGTGCCCTATGGGGCAGGGATAGTGTCCTATGGGGCAGGGATAGTGGCACTCTATGGGGCAGGGATAGTGGCACTCTATGGGGCAGGGATAGTGTCCTATGGGGCGGGGATAGTGCTCTATGGGGCAGGGAGAGCATCCTATGGGGCAGGGATAGTGCCCTATGGGGAGGAGAGTGGCACTCTATGGGGCAGGAATAGCACCCTATGGGGCAGGGAGAGCACCCTATGGGGCAGGGAGAGCATCCTATGGGGCAGGGAGAGTGGCATCCTATGGGGCAGGAGTAGCACCCTATGGGGAGGAGAGTGGCACCCTATGGGGCAGGGATAGCATCCTATGGGGCAAAAATAGCACTGTATGGGGAGAAGAGTGGCACGCTATGGGGAGGAGAGTGGCACCCTATGGGGCAGGGAGAGCATCCTATGGGGAGGAGAGTGGCACCCTATGGGGCAGGGAGAGCACCCTATGGGGAGGAGAGTGGCACCCTATGGGGCAGGAGTAGCACCCTATGGGGCAGGGAGAGCAACCTATGGGGAGGAGAGTGGCACCCTATGGGGCAGGGATAGTGCCCTATGGGGAGGAGAATGGCACTCTATGGGGCAGGAATAGCACCCTATGGGGCAGGAATAGCACCCTATGGGGAGGAGAGTGGCACGCTATGGGGCAGAGCCACCCCCTATGGCTCAGGGACATCTGGTGCCTATAGGGTGGGTGATGTCCCCCCCCCCTCCAGTGGTTGAGCCCAAAGGGGGGGTCCGGGGGGGCCCAAATCCCTCCCCCCCTCCCCCCCCCCGCAGCTGGATTAGGGGGGATGGGGGGGGGGAGGGGATAATCCAGCTGCTCGGCTGCAGCTGGGAGGGGGCAAGGGGAGGCTATGGGGAGGTGTCTGGGGATATGGGGGGTTAAAGGGGGATATGGGGGGTTAAAGGGGGCTATGGGGGGGTTAAAGGGGGTTATGGGGGGGTCTAAGGGGATATGGGGGGGTTAAAGGGGGTTATGGGGGGGGTAACATGT